GCCTGGTCTCAGACCTCCAACCTCGCCTGGTCTTAGACCTCCAACCTCACCTGGTCTGAGACCTCCAACCTCGCCTGGTCTTAGACCTCCAATCTCACCTGGTCTTAGACCTCCAACCTCACCTGGTCTGAGACCTCTAACCTCGCCTGGTCTTAGACCTCCAATCTCACCTGGTCTTAGATCTCCAACCTCGCCTGGTCTTAGACCTCCAACCTCGCCTGGTCTTAGACCTCTAACCTCGCCTGGTCTTAGACCTCCAATCTCACCTGGTCTCAGATCTCCAACCTCGCCTGGTCTTAGACCTCCAACCTCGCCTGGTCTTAGACCTCCAACCTCGCCTGGTCTTAGACCTTCAACCTCGCCTGGTCTTAGACCTCCAACCTCGCCTGGTCTTAGATCTCCAACCTCGCCTGGTCTTAGACCTCCAACCTCGCCTGGTCTCAGACCTCCAACCTTGCCTGGTCTTAGACCTCCAACCTCGCCTGGTCTTAGACCTTCAACCTCGCCTGGTCTTAGACCTCCAACCTCGCCTGGTCTTAGACCTCCAACCTCGCCTTGTCTCAGACCTCCAACTTTGCCTGGTCTCAGACCTCCAACCTCGCCTGGTCTTAGACCTCCAACCTCGCCTGGTCTCAGACCTCCAACCTCGCCTGGTCTTAGACCTCCAACCTCGCCTGGTCTCAGACCTCCAACCTCGGCCACCGGACTTGCCCAAGAGCCACTGTACCGTTTTAAAATATTCCTCATACCATATTTTAAATATCTATTCAGCTTGCAAGAATATCGATCAATACAAATTTGCTAAGGTAATGTAAGTAATTGCGCTTATGTGAACGAATTATTGCTTTACAACATTGGTGCATGTTACTTAAATCTGTATTGCAACCGTCATTCCAAAACAAACATCTGCATAATTACGTCCGCGCGTCCTGGAAGTCTTATTTATTTTACGCGACATTCCTTGGTAATAAGTGTGATTTCATATTTTTCCGCTGTATTTTTTTCTTCAAATGTCATTCTCAAATGTTCTGCCGTGACCTGTTGATGCAACCATTACACGAAGGACCCTGGCCAATGTAGACTCTGCTTACGAGTAATCACAACACACTCATGCAGCCAAGCGGGCGTGGGGAATGATTCCCGTTTTATAAATAAGTACAAAGTTGTGGGTTTCCTTTAGGTCAGCAATGCCATTCAGTGGAGCTGCCGCAACACTCTCGTCGCGTGTAAATTTCCGTTCATGAATACCGTAACAAAAGTAATGTTTCAGTTTTAACACGCAGTCGGCTTTCGCGACCAATATTTTCCATAATAGAGGAAACCCACGACTCTATTTACAATTGTAAAAGTTGTGGTTTTGTGAATGTTGTGAGTTTACTCTCCAACACGCCGGTGTGCTGAACTAGTAACGAATTGACATGTTTTGTTTACGTGACAAACCTTACTAATTGGCTGTGTCGGGTGGTGGCGGATTTAACGACACATTTACATTTACGCGATCTAACCGCCCACCACCCCCCCCCCCCCAAAAAAAAACTTAATCACCAACGAATGTTTTCAATACGGTTCACATTGTATTCACACAATGTAACATTTTAATAATCACCCTTGGCATCATCATTATTATTATTATGACGTGGTTCTTGTTGCGGTGCCTTTCTTTGTTGCCTCTGTGCACGTGTCGACGCGCGATGTGTGGCGTAGTGTCATGGTGGGATTACACGTGTCATTCTCGTGACTGGGGCCAGGCGAATTTCATTTGCGCACGGTTAGCTTCGGGGTCATGCCCGCAGCTTCATGCTAATCCCTAACGCTGCTCGCTGCGGAGTCGTGTGCAGGTGGAACAACACGACGGGAGCACGCGAGTCGCATCCTGAACCAGGGAAATTCCGCGCGGCACGCGGTGTTGTTCAACACCGCACTCACGGTTTCTACTCTGGGGCGATAACGCGTGCAGCTGAGTTAATTGATCATTGGAACACAAAGGCATCGTGTGGTGACGTCACCGATGGTGTAGAGAGAGGGTAGGTGACCTAATCGATCATTGGAACACAAAGGTATCGTGTGGTGGTAGTGATGATGATGCAAAATGAACAATGCTGGGGGGGGGGGGGGGGGAAGGGGCTTCACCCGTCAGACCAGTTCAGCGGAGCGCGATTCGGCACCTGCGTCGACTCCGTGAGCTCTGGAGTCGTTGTGGCAGCGCAAGGCCCCTACCCCCCCCCCCCTGCTCCACAGGCGACTGGGGTGACCGCGACGGGCCCCAGAGCCGAGTTTAGACGTCCAACGCGTGCGTTGACATTGGTGGGAGGGAGACAGTACAAGGTAGTCCAGATGTCGTATGACCCTTAATTAATTGACCCCAAACATGTGTTCCTTTTGCACATTCATTTATGTTTTAAATAAACCTTACTTGAAACAACTTACTAAGTTTTATAGATTTCGATTTCAAGCTTTCGTGACTGCAGGGATTCATCTTCTTGGTTCTTTCGGTAAAGTCACGTAGAAGGGAAATAAAAAAAATAATAAAAATAACCAATAATAAATATTTCTTTTATTATGTTTTAGTTTTATTATTTCCCTTCTACGTAACTTTACCGAAAGAACCAAGAAGAAGTTTTATAGAGTTAAATGGGGGTCACGAGACCTCTGGACCACCCTGTAAAATGATATTGCTGCAGTATGTCTCCCAAATGATTTCAGTGGCGGATCTCGGAGTGGATCACCAACCCTGTATTTAACAAAACGCAGCCGCGTCAACTCCACACGTGCACGGCGATAGACAACAACCAGGTGACATTTTGGGCAATGGCCTTGCTGCAAAGGGCCAAACACACTTCCTCCCGCCGCAGCAGGCGCCTTGTTAGAATCCTGCATGCAAGCCTGCGCTGCGACACTGTTCATGGGACAGTCAATGAATGCATCTCAAGTTTTCTCTGCATCCCCGTCGATTCTGTTTAATTGAGTTGTCCCGCTCGTTCGAAATTATCTCAACTATAAACTCAGCTTTTTATTTTATGTTACCAGGCAAGACCCGTTTGAGCTATATAGCTCCCATTCAGAAGCGACGTGGCTATCGCAAATGATAGATCGACGAAGTGGCTTTACACGTGCAAATGTAGAGCAGCCAAAGACTCTAAACGCGTAGATATATCGATTCTAAATGTGGAGGGAAAAATCGGAGGACCCAGAGAAAAATCCACACGACCACGGGGAGAGAGAGACACCGCAAACTCAAGATATACAGGCGTCAGGGTCGGAATCGAACCCACGACCTGAAGTTCGACGTTTCGCACCACGTGCTGGAAGAAGCTCCCAGCACGTGGAGCAATGCGTCCATCGCACCGTGGCGAACGGCACGCGGCGGTCGGAGCCGAACCTCGTGGGGGGGGGGGGGGGGGGGGTGGGGGGTCTGAGAGCCGCACAGCTCAGCGGCAGAGACCCTGCAGTAAGTTGGTTCAATCTCTCCGTCTCGTCCGTCGCCACGCGCCTCGACTGCAGTCCCCGTGGAGATCTGCAGGGGCCGGTAGGCCACGCGTTTTGCCGGGACCCGCAATGCGCGCGCAGAGCGACCGTGTTGCGCTGGGAAGGCTTCGCGCGTTCGCAGCTCGCCGCTCATCGACGGACATCGGCGCGCGCGCACGCCGGGGTGGTGTTGATGGTGGTGGTGACCGCACGGCGCTGGGATTGAGAACGGCTCGTGCGCATCTTTTCAAGGGGTTGACTTCGGGGTTTGCAAGAACGCGATGACCGTCTTCTCGTGGTAACTCCCACCACGACTAAACCAGCACACTTTTCTCCGAAATTAGTTTTGGGGGTGATGGTGGGGAGGAGGCACGCGGAGGAGCGGCTGTGCTGCTCCTGTGGACAGCACCCATCTCATGCAGGTGCCGGTCATTTTGCTGCACCCTGCTGCTGTGCCGTCCACTCCATCATCATCATCATTCACTTCACGTCTCGGCTGAAGTCCTAACCGGGGCCACCGACCCGATATTCCGCTGCGGTGAACTACCACGTGTCCAGATATGTGCGCAGGACATCCCGGGCAGAGCGTGAACCTTCTGGAAGCTAACGGCGACTGGGATAAATAAATAACTTTGAACGCGAAGAGAGCACTCAATGGATATACCGTAGGTGGTGGTGGTGGTGTTGTGGTCGTGTTGGTAACCGAAAAGAGAACCGGTGGCACGGGTTGGTCACGGTTAAATCCAGCGCAGGTGAGCGTGCGTGTGTGTACTGGGTGGGGTAGGTATTGGAGAGTGCGCTGGGTGGTGTGGCCAGAGGAAGGTTGAGCTGGGTGGTGTGGCTGGGGGTGGGGTGCGCTGGGTGGTGTGGCTGGGGTAGGGTGCAGCTGGGTGGTGTGGCTGGGTGCGCTGGGTGGAGTGGCTGGGTGCGCTGGGTGGTGTGGCTGAGGGTGAGGTGCAGCTGGGTGGTGTGGCTGCGGGTGGGGTGCGCTGGGTGGTGTGGCTGGGGTGCAGCTGGGGGTGGGGTGCAGCTGGGTGGTGTGGCTGGGGGTGGGGTGCGCTGGGTGGTGTGGCTGGGGGTGGGGTGTGCTGGGTGGTGTGGCTGGGGGTGGGGTGCAGCTGGGTGGTGTGGCTGGGGTGCGCTGGGTGGTGTGGCTGGGGTGCTGCTGGGTGGTGTGGCTGGGGGTGGGGTGCAGCTGGGTGGTGTGGCTGGGGTGCCCTGGGTGGTGTGGCTGGGGGTGGGGTGCGCTGGGTGGTGTGGCTGGGGGTGGGGTGTGCTGGGTGGTGTGGCTGGGGGTGGGGTGCAGCTGGGTGGTGTGGCTGGGGTGCGCTGGGTGGTGTGGCTGGGGTGCAGCTGGGTGGTGTGGCTGGGGGTGGGGTGCAGCTGGGTGGTGTGGCTGGGGGAGGGGTGCCCTGGGTGGTGTGGCTGGGGGTGGGGTGCGCTGGGTGGTGTGGCTGGGGGAGGGGTGCCCTGGGTGGTGTGGCTGGGGGAGGGGTGCCCTGGGTGGTGTGGCTGGGGGTGGGGTGCGCTGGGTGGTGTGGCTGGGGGAGGGGTGCCCTGGGTGTAGGGGCGTGGACCGTCGTACCAGCCGGAGGCGCCCCGTGCACGGGACTCAATGTTCAGCATAGGGCGGCTGCTGTCCCGCCACGGGGCCGACCCGGGAGCGGCATCATGACGCTCGGCCAGCGCGTGCGCCAGCAGCAGCAGCAGCGGCGGCAGCTCCAGCTGGGAGTCCACCGCCTTCTGCTGTGCTGCGTCTCGTCCTGCATCATCATCGTCACCGTCGCGCAGGTGGAGTTTGTCCGTGCTCATGCGGCACGTTGTGTGTGTGTCTGCGCGGAGTGCTCGCTAACATCGTTTGCCCCAACAGACGTGTTCAGGCTATGCGGGGGGGGGAGGGGGGTGTCTCCGTCTCCGCGCTTGTACGCACGTGTGTGATGTGCAGCGCAGATATCCTACTAAAGCGCTTCGCGGAGTTCGTCGTTGACAATTCGAGCGAATGTTTGCGTGGTGGCTTCAAGCTCGTGATGTGAGCGCTCGCGAGAGAGGCGATGGGGGGTGAGCGGGTCGCGTGGGTTCCCGAGATCTCCCAAACCTCCAGGGGAGTGGCAGGGCTGTTGGTGGGTTCCAGAATCTGCTTGTGAAGGCGTCTAGAACGGAGCGTTCTCCGGTTAAACAACCACATTGCTATTTAGACTTGGTTCTGCTCCGGTTCCACTCGGTATAAACCACTGTCACGTCGGCACTCGGGAACGCGGTACCCAACGTCGCTCCCGGCTCGGTGGCCACCCATTCCTATCGGGATGAACGGTTCTCGAACTGAGTCCATTGACTAACACTTATGTTGATGAAATTATTTTTCACTTGATTAAGTTAAACATTTAAATGGCCAGATTTTCACATCTTGCCCTGTTATTGGTGATGGAGACACCGATTCGTATTTGCCAAATATATATATCAGACGAAAAGGAATCTTTATTAAGTTGGCAATCTGGCCCTGTATCATTTATAAGTGCTGTTTAAACAGTTAAACTACGTTAAATGTTATTGCCAATAAAGGAGCGATGCCTGTTCGTCCCTTGATGCCACGCGACCATTCACAAAGGAGCCGAGATGGACTCCGGCCACACCAGACTACTCCACCATCACCATCTTCCTGTAGTAGTCTCACTATGGTAGTGGTTGGGGCGAGACCGGGTGGTGGGCCTGGTCTACAAAAATAAGGTAACTTTTTATTTTCTTTGCGAGTGCCCACGCATATGAACCACACGTTATAAGTGGCAAAACAATTGAGAACCACTTATATTCAAGGCAGAATGTCCACGCTGCTTTTCGTGATCAAATTCTGTTTTGCAAAACCAGTCAACGTTGCTGTTTGCTGGGTTTCTTCGTTTCCATCCGAATCAGCCTCCGATAACTGCCCTCGGTACACGGTCTACTGCTGTTCAGTTGCGTCCCTCCAAACATTGTCTTGTTTGGCAGGTTTGTTGTGCTTGCCTTTCGCTTTGCTCGTATTTATCTCAAGTTAGACATTGTAACGTTATGAAATCATCGTATTTTTTCTTTGGTTGTCACAAAAAATGTATCGGTAACAAGTCGGAGAGAATATTATTGTCATTGATGCTGAAAAATGTATTTCCTGAATATATTTTTCCGAAAATATATTCGAATGCTGCTTGGTGAGAATGCCTCCTTGCCCGACTTCTGATTTGTAATATTCTGCTTTTCATGCAATCTCAACTTAGCAATTGCATCTTTACAAATGGTTGTTGCATTTCGGATATCTATGTATTTATTTGTTCGGGCCTTGGTTTGTAAGAGCTTTGACCTTGGTGATATGAGCATCGAATACCACTATAGCCGGCCATCATTGATTAAGAACACGCGTTTCATTAAGTGAAAACTACACCAATTTATCCAAGCTTTTACGAACTAATGAGAAAGTGAGTAGGCGTTCTTAATCCAGCCAAATTGATTAATGCGAGTGCTAAGAGAATCGTATTCACTTGTGTCCACTTGCCCTACTATGAGCAATCCCAGAGGCACTTTTAAGTTTGGTTAAAGCCATAACGATACATTCAGGCTGAAGCAAAGTTGACATTTCCTGGTGCCGGCATTTGTATTGAATATCAACCTTGGAGCCAGTGGTATAATCTTGATCACATTCCTCATAATTATTATTTCTAATGAGCTCTAAACCAAAGAGTCTGACAAGCAGAACACGTGGCAGGTTTTTTTTTTTTCTCCCAGCCTATATTACGATTTATAATTGATTTCTGGGTTAGGCCACGTAATTAATCCGACCAGATTTTTGCCATTAACAACACTCACCATCTACCACCGTCCGAGAGATTCAATTGTCCCGCGTACCAAGCGTTTAACGTGCCAGTTATTATTGTATCAGCTCGCTCACTGGAAAGTTGAAGAAAATTTTTCACAACTATATTTTGCATTGAGATAACGAAAATATGTTGGAAATTACATGAAGCGCTCTCAGTATTCCTGGATTTTATACCAAATTTTTGGCTTTTCTTCCTGGCTAGGGGGCCTTAATCTGCAAGAGGCTAGATCATGGCTGATGATTATTTGAGTAAAGGTTCAGCCCTGCAATTGCTTGCTGACACCATTGTTAGCGGAAGGGATCTCTACCAGAAGAATCTCTAAACACTCCATCTTGAGGATCTATTGGCCAACTCACGCTGGCAAGGCGTCTTGCAAGAGTTGGTATTACCCACACTTTGCCCCACCACGCGCGACCTGTCGACTGACTGTGCCGCACACATTTAGACTGCCGGGTGGATAGAGATGCGGTGGAGGAAAGGTGAGAAACTGATGATAGATGCGATGACGATTCATATGACGATTATGGAGAACGATACGATGGTGATGATGATGATGATTTAGATTAGTGGTTCTCAACTGGGGACACGCGGGACCCCTGGTTGTACGTGGCAATGTCCCAGGGGCTACGTGAGGTCATTTATGCAGGTGTGAAATTACATCATACATGAGTCATTGGTGAATAATCACGTATGCATCTGCCAATATAGGATAACTACGATAAAAATGTTATCCATATGGTAACCGAGGACGATTGAAATTACTTTTCAAAACTCATTGATGGTAAGCAATGCTGGTTTTCAAGAGTCACCAGCGAGCGAGAACAAATTGCGTCACGCAACGCAGAGCGTCCGAATTTTGTTTTTATATCAGCTGCTGGCAGCTGGTCAGGATACCTCACAAAATTGACAAATTGGTCCACAAATTGATGTTCATAACTCATTAAAAAAACCTATTCTCAGAACCATGTTGGGCCAGGCAAAAGGGGTGGTGGGGGGGGGGGGGGTAACTCGGTTGAAAATGTTTTAACAACAGGAGGGTTGGGGGGGGGAGAGTAGCGAAAACAAGAAGGGTTGAGAACCACCGATGTCGATGATGATGGGTGACCACCACGGTGCCGGCTTGAGACGAATCGGCGCTGTCCGACGGCAAGACGACGCGCGAGCTCGCCGTGACCGCGCCGTGACCGCGCCGCCGCCTCCCGTGCGCGCGACAGGCGGCGCGCACGGGAGGAGGAGGAGACAGCAGCGATGGTGGTGGTGGTGGTGGCAGCGGTGGTGGTGGTGGCAGCGGTGGCGGCAGCGGTGGCGGCGCGTGCCCCGCGCGCACCCCGGACACGGCCACGGGGCAGAGCTGCGAGAGGCGGTGGCGCTGGGCGTGCGTGCTTCCCCCTCCACCACCGCCGCACCCTCCACCCCCGCCGCCTCGGTTTGGAAAACCACCGAAAGTCGATCCCGGTGAGGAATAACGAAAAAAAAAAACGTTGTTTATTGTTGTGCTTTTGTTTACACGGGGATTCCTTTTTATTATTATTATTATTGTCATCACCATTGGGGGGTGGGATGGAGGCTGCCACCAGCAGTGGACGACGGTCATCGTGATGAACTTGCAATTAAGTCCACAGGTGGCAGCAGGTTCCACCTCCCGCCGCGCCAGTTTGAAACAACGGAGCAAGTTTATTAAAAATGTGAATCCCTGCACACCGCCTCTGGCCCACCCAGCCGCAGTGTAAATTGGTAGACCGTCGTCAATCCGCAGGTTTTGTTTGGGAGGGTAAAATGCGGCTACTGCCGCCTCGTCCAAGATGCCTGCCCAGCGTGGAAGAGTAGGCCAAATACACTCTCTGGAGCGGCTCTCGAGAACTCCCTGCACATGAAGCCTTTCCACTAGCAGTGGCGTGGGCAAACAATTCCAGTGCTGCACGGTTCACCTTTAAAATATACGGCTACTGATACTGGACAATATTTGGGTGTTTCAGCAATTCTCTATCCGTGCTCTCTAGGTGCGTGGGTGCTCGGTGGATCGTTATGACATTGCGAGATCGTGAGGCAGCGGTGGCTTGGGGAGGGATAGGCCTTCATTCATCCAGCCGTGGCTTTACCGTGGCTGATGGTGATGAATGTCAACGATAAAATGTAAATACAATTTGGGCGCTCAATTTAGAGCGGTCGTAAACAAATAAGCCCGATGTTTACTGTCGTTTGGAGCAGCCAACATTTTCAGACACGGCTGTTGAAGTGCATGCTTGCCATAGATTTACACAACGCACATACAGCGACTCCCATGCTGGCTTAGCAAGCTTTAGTGTACCAGAGATAAAGCCTCCCCATCTCTAGATTTGTGTGTTGTTGCCTCTGTTCTATCGATGATGGAGTCACTGTCGTGTAAATGCTGAACTGGCAGTCGAGGACGAACAGGGTTCACTGCCTGGTCAAGGTGACAGACACCTCTTGGGCTGAAAATAAGAATAATCGCTGTGGAGGTGTGGCACAGCGGTTAGCACACTGGACTGTGAAGTAAGCGAGTTCTTAGATTCTCGGCCTTTGCTGCAACACACAAGTGGCGAAAGCAGTCTCATCACCCCCCCCCCCCCACCCCTTTCACCAATCCGCATTGACCAGCCTGGTGAAGTATGGTCAAACAATCCTCACGACCGACGCAAGGTGCGGAGAACTTCATTCAGCAGTGCACTGAACATGTTTGTTATTAATTATTTGCACGAGTCCCAATTAAAGTATTCATTTGGGTAATCGTACCGATTTCTAAACAAATATTTTCATTGTCACCGTTCATTCAGACCCTTCGGAAAGTGTTGTTGTGTTTATTGCATGGGGAAAAGAAAATCAATATTTGTCATAATTTCCATCAATTATCTCTTGCTTTAGTTCTCTAATTGGCGTCTATACTTGTTGTATGTGTCCTCCGCACGGTCGACAGATGATTTATTTAGTGGCGTACAGTGCCGTGAGTATCTTGTAAAAGGGTGCTTTATAAATGTAATTCATAGTCATTAGTCGCGAATAAAACGATTTTCTAGGAATGCAATCACACTGCGCTGGAATCTAAATTGCGTAACGTCGAGGGCTGTTAAGAAAGAAGCCCACCACCACCAAGTATTAGGAAGTTGCAATGGACAACAATTGGGTATCTTCTCACATACAGCGGATTTGCCTGAAACTATTCGGATATTAAGAACATATTGTCCAAGAGTTTGTGGTGTCAATCTCGAACAACCGAGTGAGTTGTGTCCCCCTTGTGGCTTCAACTGCTGAGGTGCCGCGGTGGCGAGATGCCGACTGCCTCGCTTGGAATGACTGACGCCTGTTGTACAATTTCAGTTTGCTGCGTGGATTGTCTCCGATTTTCCCTCCGAATTTTGTGGCCAGGTCACATCTGAAAAGAGTTAATAGCTCCCTGGGATTCACCTGGTAACAAAACGTTAGTTGTTAGTTGTAGTTAGTTGTTAGTTAGTAGTTAGTTAGTTTTAGTTAGCGTTAGTTGTAGTTAGTAAGTTAGTGTTAGTTAGTTGTAGTTAGTTGTAGTTAGTTAGTTGTAGTTAGTAGTTAGTTACTTGTAGTTAGTTGGTTGTTAGTTGGTAGTTAGTTGTTAGTTAGTTGTTAGTTAGTTGTAGTTAGTTAGTAGTTAGTTGTAGTCATTTAGTAGTTAGTTGTAATTAGTTAGTAGTTAGTTGTAGTTAGTTGTTAGTTATATTCTTGGTTATTTCGGTAAAGTCACGTAGAAGGGAAACAATAAAATAATACAAATATAAAACAATACAATTCTCACGACGTTTCGACTGCAGCACAAGCAATCATCATCAAGTGTGAAAACCACAGCAAGAAAATGTTCTTGCAGCCCTCCCCATTACGCATTCTTGCTGTGGTTTTCACACCTGATGATGATTGCTTGTGTTGCAGTCGAAACGTCGTGAGAATTTTATTGTTTTATATTTTTTATTATTTTATTGTTTCCCTTCTACGTGACTTTACCGAAAGAACCAAGAATATGAATCCCTGCAGTCACGAAAGCTTTAAATAAAAAAAATTAGTTGGTTAGTTGTAGTTGGTTAGTTGTAGTTGGTTAGTTGTTGTTGGTTAGTTGTTGGTTAGTTGTTGGGTAGTTGTAGTTGGTTAGTTGTAGTTGGTTAGTTGTAGTTGGTTAGTTGTAGTTGGTTAGTTTTAGTTGGTTAGTTTTAGTTGGTTAGTTTTAGTTGGAGTTGGTTAGTTGGAGTTGGTTAGTTGGAGTTGGTTAGTTGGAGTTGGTTAGTTGGAGTTGGTTAGTTGGAGTTAGTTAGTTGTAGTTAAACGCCTCCCCCGGTCTCTTCCGTCCCTTCCTCTCTTGTCCCTGTCCACTGCAGTCTCCAAACTCTTTGATTTCATCTCTCCATGTGTTTCGTTTATATATTTATTTTTGTTCACCTGGGTAACGTTGGGGGGGGGGGGGGGGGGGGGGGGCAGAACGGTGGGGTAAAGGGACGATAAAATGAAACATTTAAAACGCAGAGGATGATGAGAGTGAATAATGAGAAGGGAATAATCGCAGCAGCAGCTGCATCTCAACTCCCAGCAGTAGCAGCCACTCAGACAGAGCCGTGGGCAGTCAATGAGATGAAATCATCTTGTACGCTCTTGAAAAGTGAGACATTTAATCATCTTCTATACTCTTGAAGGGTGAGAGATTACATAATCTTTTACGCTCTTGAAGGGTGAGAGATTACATAATCTTCTACGCTCTAACTCCGCTCCTTTGGCCTTCGTTTTTATCCCGGCTGTCTAAGCAACTGTTGCTCGCTTCTTCACCGTCGAACTCACAACTTGGTGACCGTTGTATAGTTATAAGAAATGGTTTACTGGTCCCATAAAATGTTGCAAATCGAAAGCCAGGATTAAATACCATCACACGATCTGGCACAGTGTTTTAATAGCCCTAATAAGGGTTACTTGGCTCGCTGTTATTACGAGGGTATTACGCGTTTGAAACGTATTGCACTGCAAATGGTAAAATTGCAAAGGTGCCACCCTGCAGTTGCTCGCTGGCGTCACTGGTAGCGGAAGGGTCTCCACTAGAGGGAGCTCCTAGAGACCCCTCTAGAGAGGGCATTTGACCTACTCTTCCCTGCTGGCTAGACATGCTTTAAGAGGTGGGATTACCCACACTTTTTCCCACCGCACGCAGCAAGCTAATTGACTGATGTATCCAAGTGTACTACAAGTTAGACAGAGGGGCTAATTGGTGGGCAGCAGAGGGCAATGCACAATAACAACGCCGTTCATCACACAAAGACATTTGTTATAGTCGTGCGAGCACAGCGTATCCTGCTGGTGCAAGTTGGAGACTGAACCCCGTTGGCCTCAGCTGCTCGATCAATTAGCACGGTTGGCTACATACGGTGCGAAATAAGTTCAACATACAATTACATCGGCAGGGATGGAGATTGGAAAGCAGAATTCCTGTCTTATTTCCAGACTCTCGGTGATTGCTCCAGTGGCAGTACCACGCAGAATTCGGCTGATTCTATTGAAGTTAAATACGTTGGCAATTATTTGAGTGAAATGGTTAGATCAGAGGTAATCTGTTGATAGAGGTCGAATGTTTACTCAGAACACAATTATAGAGACATTAAAACCTTTGGCTAAGAGAGTTTGTTAGACTACTGTGTGGTGTTATCCATACAGGATGGCATTAATCTAATATCATGCACAGCACCAATGAAAACAACATTCTATTGTCGTAACAATTAAGCCATGGAAAATCATACATTTCCCAAAAACCAAGATTATTTAATCTCTATATTACGTCACAAACACAATTCCTTGCCAATCATCGGCGCACCGAGTTCATCGCGTTGCAAAGTGTGAACACCTGCACTGGCTAAAAACCAGACGTGGCGTGCAAACAACAACAACAATCCACTGCAGGGAAGAGGGCGGTGGCTTTGTGACGGAGGTTATGAACAACAGGCGCTTGAGAGTAGCACTGCTTGTAAGAAGAGCACATTCTACGCCGACGTCATTATGGCATCCGTTCGCGTGCGCAGGCTCTGATAAAAAAATGTCGACAGGTTATGCAATGTACCGCTCAAGACACTCGCAGTTTACAAAGTGTGACCTGATCTGAGGGTGGAGGGGGGGGTAATGTGAGCTTCATTTTCCTCGCTGAACTTCTTTCGCACAGTACGTAGCCAACCGTGCTATTGGTAGGTGCAATAATAGTGCTCTGAACATAACCACAGGAAGCGCCCTGCAAACACGGAATGTCCCCAAGTTGAGACGCGCAATATTTCACACTTGTGAATAAATACAAAAAAATACATTAACCTGACCCCAAGCCCGATTTAAGATGTTTTTGAGAGGCCAACGTAGCCGTGGGCTGACTCTGGCTCGGCAATGAGCCGCTGAACAACCACGCGTACCACGCCGGGGCCCCTTGGTGATGTGCCAGTGGGAAAGTGAGGTATTAGTGATCAGCTCAGGACCTGGAAAATAAGCTTGTGGGAAAGCAGGCATCGCAAGCTGACGCAAGTTAATATGGATTGGTGTGATTTAATTTTATAATTGAGGTTATGGCACTAATTGGGGGTGTGGAAATATGGGTTTAATTATAAACGCACGTGGACTTGTATCGACGTGTTTGAGCCCAGAACATCCGCTGTATAAGAAGCCGAATGAATGAACGTTCGATGATTATTTTGTGTACAGTATTAATATTGCATTCACACTGCTGGATCAAAGTGTGCGAGACAGCTGAGGGAATTTTATTATTTTACCATTCCACACGTAATTTTGGAACTGCTGTAGCGTGTTTAATGCAAGAGCCCGTTGATTGCACGGTCCTTAATTAGGGAAATAATAGCACACAGACCGACAAACGACCCATAGTATTTATGGCATAATATATGCTTGCAAACAATTGCAATTTACCTTTTATATTGTATATGCTTTAACTTTCCTCTCTTTGAAAAGAGTACACATTTTAAATTCACTTGTTTTGTTAGCTCTGTTAACCCACGACTGGATGAATGCTTTCCCATATTGTGGCAGTCCTGTGGGTTGTTTGACCATACTCCACCACGCTGCTCAGTGCAGGTCGGTGATGTGGGATGGGGTGGGCACAAGGGGCATTGGAAGATGTTTCCCCTGAAAGTTATTGGAGAAAAAAATGCATAAATATTAACGGTGGAAACATGAACCCTCTGAGATGTGCTGATGACACCGTTATTGAATAACGTCCAATTGGAATGAGTTGCAAGGGAAATGTTATACAGTAAGAACTTAAGAAAGGGGCTGCAAAGTTGGGGTCAGTATGAGCCAAACTAAAGGTCGGTACGTAAAAGTTAACTCAACAATTGGTGATATTTGTGGAGGGAACACAACTGGGAAACACAGCAAAAATACATAGATACCTAGGACATTTATTGAACGTTTAGTTGAATTAAAAGTCTTAATATGATTCATGAAATAATTATATTTATAGTATATTCAATGTGAATCATTTTCAACGATATGATCTCCAGCCCCCACCATACGATCCCAATGTATAGCAATTGTGAGTGCGGTTTATCTGATGGAAATGTAGATTTAAAAACAAATAATTGGGTCATTGAGTTATTAACACCAGAGTGGTTTCGACAATGACACAAACGTAGCTATCCAAAAACATACGTATAGTACATTTGTCTTGTAATCGTAATAATAACAATGACAATTACTGAAATGTTAATCAGTAAAATAAATGAAGGTGGTGATACCAGCAATCCCCAGATGGAAGGAAAGGTGCCAGTCGGCTTAGTGTCACCACGTGGGTTCACAACTCGAATTCGCTCGATTGTTTTGGCCAAGGAGGCAGATCTATCCGATGATCAGATGGCCATAAACAGCACGGAGTTCGAGAGCAATTAAGATCAGATCACATGATAATTTATCCGGTTATGTCTGAACTAATATTGAATAATTCATCTAAATAAACAGGCAATCGCTGAACTAACATCGGGTGCTCTTGACATTAAGTGCATGACGTTAAAGTTAAACATAAATGTGTAACGACATAAATCACTTGATAAACACTGGAGGAAATTTTCTGAATAACTAAACGGTGAAAACTGTAGTTCACCAGCTTGAAAACGAAAGTTGTTTAGTTGGCTGCAGCAGCTGGGTGTTATTGCTCCGTGCACTTTGATTATGTGCCTCTTCTCACCACTTCCGTCTCCCTCGCCTGGTATACAGGAGGTCGTGGGATTGATCCCGAGACTCGCGCCTCCTGGATATTTGGAGTTTGCATGTTATCCGTCTCCCAGTGCTCACGTGGATTATTTTCTGGGTCCTCTGATTTTTTTTTTCCCCTCCACATTTTCGAATCAAGCTGCGTTTAGAGTCTTTATTTGGCTGCTATCAATTTCCACATGGTAAGGCCACTTCGTTGAGATACCATTTGTGGCCAGGTCGCTTCTGAGAAAGAGCTATGGAGCTCAGAGTGGGTCTTACCTGGTAAAATAAAACTAGTTAAAAAATAAAAGTCCTGGTATCTGCTTCCACCGTCTCTCCTCTCACTCTACCCGCTGTCTCCCGCTCCTCCTGTACTGGGACGTCCCTCGCCCTTCTAATTGTACCTGGCACCTGCTGATATACAACACGTTTAGCGAGAGACACCTGATTACAACTGGCCGTATTCCATAAACGTTGTTGATGAAAACATTGAAGCACTTTTCCAGCTGTAGAAGATTTGTGCTGATACAATTTTTATTTTATCTTGTATTTGGGACGTGTTTGCCATCGTATGAGATCTGTGCGGCTGGGTGATGCTATGGTTCCGAGTGCACATGCCTCGCATTCAGAAAGTAGTGGAGTTTAAAACGAGTCCCACATTGTGGGAAATCGAGATTGATCGTCTTGTACAAGATCTGCCCCCCCCCTCCCCCAGCCCACCAAAGGCAAATCGAGTTTACACAAACGTCTTGGGAGATGAGTGCTACTCATTTTCTTTTGAAAGTGGAAACCTAAAAAAAAGGAAACTCCATGCATCTGGAATTAATCAAGTGGTCATCGTGTTCCCACAATCTACAATTCTGAACGGCTCTGAGTGTAGAATGGAGTAAAGTATCGATGGGTAGGAAACGTAGTGGACTGGAAGCCCAACCGGGATTAATTCACAGGAGGCAGGGGATTAATTGTGTATGTCTGTGGATGTCTGTCCACGTCGGAGGGGTGGGGCTGGGTGGGGTGGGGCTGGGTGGGGTGGGGCTGGGTGGGGTGGGGCTGGGTGGGGAGGGGCTGGGTGGGGAGGGGCTGGGTGGGGAGGGGCTGGGTGGGGAGGGGCTGGGTGGGGAGGGTGGGGCTGGGTGGGGAGGGTGGTGCTGGGTGGGGAGGGGCTGGGTGGGGAGGGTGGTGCTGGGTGGGGGGTGGGGCTGGTCACCCCGTGGTGCCCTTACATGGACTGGAAGCCCAACCGGGATTATCACAGGAGGCAGGATTAATTGTGTATGTCTGTGGATGTCTGTCCACGTGTATCCGGACATTCGGATATAAAAAAATGGGAGGGGTTGGGCTAAGTGGAGAGGGGAGGGTGGGGAAGGGCTGGGTGGGGATGGGAGGGTGGGGCGGGGAGGGTGGGGCGGGGTGGGTGGGGTGGGGCTGGGTGGGGAGGGTGGGGCTGGGTGGGGAGGGGCTGGTCACCCCGTGGTGCCCTTATAAAACTCAACGTTTAACCTACTCACGCCGGCTTGTGCCCGCCCTCACAGTCGGGCATATTTGCGGAATACACCACGTGGTGCCGCCGTTGACCCTGGCCACTGACCGAGCAACGAACATTCCTACCAGCCCCCTTCCGCAGGAATGTGTTATAGCCCGTTGTCTGCTATGATGATGTCCAGAGTTTTGCTGCGCGTGCTGAGAAGGAGAGACCTGTCTCGATCTCTCGGTTTGCGGAGCGAAACGTCTGACATCGTTACCGAACAGCGCGCGGTGGCGCAACCCCTGAAACGCGCCCTGGAGACCCCGCACAGAAGCGCGGCCTGTGCAGGAGAGCGGTGCGTCGATGACCCTTGTTCATCCACAGAGCCTAAGCCAACAGAGCTGCCAAAGCTGTGGTGGCACGGCCTGGGCATCGTACTGGTGGCGAGCGGCGTCTTCCTGGGCCTCGCGTGCGGGCTGCTGGCCTGCCGACGACTCTGCTGGAGGTAAAAAGAGCCGACGATTTAATTGTTAAACGTTGCTTTTTTGAGCGGCACGCTCGCGCACGAGCCGCGCGTGCACAACCACCGAGAGCCGTGCATCTCAAACAGATGTCCAGCCCCCCAAGATGGGAATGATTTTCATATTCTTGTAAGCCACGTGCAAAACTTCGGCCAAGCCCCTGTTGCATGGCTGTTGGAAACAATTATGAGGCCTCTTGTGGATAAAAACTGAGGTGTATTTTTTTTTGTTGGGCACTGGAAAGTGATTAATGGTGTAATGTGAAATTAAACGTATTGGTGTTTGTTGCTAATGAAAAACAGGAGAGGGGAGGAGGGTTTTGAGTCACTTATGAGAAGGAACATATGAATGAATTAATTTAAGCTGTTTTATGTAACCACGTTGATGGCACGTAGAGATGTTTTGCCTCTGCGAGGAAAGTTTGAAAAAGGCCACGTGGATTCTCGCTCGAATAGGCGGCAGTACTCCTTGCCTGCTTCGAGCACATCCCGAAACGAGCGGCGGAAATTCCACATTCCCATGGCAGAGAGCAGTCCTAAACAGTAACCACCGTAGACTTTCCACAGTTGTGCCCAAATCTATTGATCCCAGGGAAAATTAAATGCTGAGTTAAAGCAGAAATGGCAACAAATGTGAAAACCCAGTCGAGGAATGTTCCGATGAAGAATCAAATGCCCTGGTAACAAAACTTTATTTGCTCAGCCATTGAAGTTCCAGGAACTATACACAATCCAGTAATTCAAGTTGGCAGGAGGGGTATATTATGAATGTATAATCAGGCCCGGATCCAACATAAATTGTCCCTTGGACAAACAAGGCTTTTGGCACCCGATGTTTTGTCATTTTATATTGCCATATGTATTTCCTATGCAGGATTCACGATGCGTTTGTAAAAAAAAGAATTGGGCAAAAACTTTAAAGATCTCTAAACTTGTACGATGTTGGTGGCCTTTGCAGCTTGCGGCCTTGGGTGGTCACTGCCTGCCCAGGTCTAAAGCCAGGCTGTTGACTAATACTTTACTTGTTTTACCTTGAAAATAAGCAATGCCGTGCCAATCGAACACATTTTGGCAAAACACCTATTCGTCTGATCTACTGCTGCACTTGCCTCGTTCTGGTTCAACTTGGAAGCATAAACTTGCACAGCGATGAGTTGGTGATGGGCTGGAATGGTGCGCACCGCCAATGTGTGGAAAGCATGAACTCGGAACGACGTCTTGATTCACAACATTTAGCACTGGGTTTTTATTTTCTGCAGTCAGTGTTGGCATACTGATGGAGATTTGTTTTTCAAAGTTCTAATAACATTTCCATAGCGTCACTGCTCTCGACTCACACAGCCACACAGCATGACTGTTTAGAAAGGGGGCTATACAACAATAACAATAACTCAGGGGCATGCAATGATTCACTCATCACTACCACCACCACCAGGGTGAGTGACAGTCGTGTCCCACCGCAAAGACGGGCCTGGGTTCGATTCCCGACTCGGTCACATGCCTGTGGGATTTGTATGTTCTCCCTACTGTCTGCATGGGTTTCCTCTGGGTTCCCAGTTTTCCTCCCAGAGCTAAACAAAAATATACCCAGCATCTGGTATTGGCCAACCATCCCAATGCTGAAATATTACCTGGAAATCACACAATTTGGATTGCACACTGCAACATCTCTCCCTACTGCAAACCACTTGGCAGGACCCTCCTCGAAAGAGTCTGAAGACCGAGTGAGACTCTCCAGGGTAAACAAATGTGTAGTAATGACAATGATAATAAGACAGACTATGATCTTCATTTGTCTACGGTGCACTCCACTCGATCTCCCACTCCCTGCGTGTGTGTAGGGAAAGGACACGACTCCCATCGATTAACTCGAAATTATGCTTCTACCGACATTTCCATACCGTCAGTTTAACACAATATCATCCATAATACAGGTGTTTTTGGGTTAGAAGGCGTAAAGATATAAATGTCGTTAAACCTGCCACCACCCGACAGCTGATTAGTGAGGTTTGTCACGTAAACAGGGCATGGCAATTCGTAACTAGTACAGCACACCGGTGTGTTGGAGAGCCAAGCCACAACATTGACCGAGTACGACGTTTCGCCAGTAATTACAACTAGCTTCATTTCCATACCGTGTGAACCCATACAGTTCACTCCGTATTCTGGTACAGGGAAATTTAGTTTTCAGGTCCATACGGCGTACAACCGTTTCTATACGGGCAAACATGTTTGTCTATTTGTGTGTGTTTCTCCCTTGTGGTGGGGCTTTGTAGAATGGACGTTGAGATTTCTAAGGGCACAGGGTGACCAATGAGGTCTGAATTTGTCTGGAATAAGGGTAGGCACTTATAAAGGGGTTGACCGGTTTGCATTTTAGACTTGGTGTAAATTTAGTAGGGGGGGGGTGTTCATCCCTCTCCAGGCCCCCACCCCCAGTAGGGGTTTGGTCTCGCGTCGTTCCAGTGCCCCCAGAGACTCGCATTTCGCTTCATTCGAGTGTGAAAACGTTGCATTCCCTTTGCAGTGGTAGAGCTGCAGGATAAACAACTGCACGTGTTCATAAAAAAACTATCTTCGATTAATTCACTTGAAGTACAGCGAATCGCTTTCACATAACCGTGCATTATAACCGCCGCAAAGTTACGGTTTCAAAATATAGAGCCATACAAATAACACATTTGAACAGTTTAGTTTAATTATCGAAGGCCATGGTTAATTATTCACAATTGATTTTTGGGTTAATTATGCCGCAGTTAAAACCCAAGCGATGGGTAAGTGTAAACGCATGTTGCTGTACACCGCAAATATGCATTTTTGAACATAATGGCTGATGGTTAATTAATCGGTTCGCTGGTCATCAATTGATTCACTTGTACAATGCATGTAAAACACTAGAATGCAATAAAATTGCACATTAACGGGTATACAATGCAGTCGTTTTCTTGCCGTTAGCACATTCATAGGTGTGGCGTGGTGGTGGGGGAGTTGAGTGTGGAGATGCTGGCATGAGGCCCATGCAAACCAAGTAGAGCTTTGGTGCCCAAGCAGCTCAGGGGGCCCCAGATTAAAGAGAAAAAAAATATACAGTAAAACCTTGGATTACGAGCATAATTTGTTCCGGAAACGTGTTTGTAATCCAAAGCACTCGTATATCAGTTGTGATCACGTGATGCTCGGCAGACAAAGCGTATACGTACTACTCGTATTGCAAGACCTCGCTCGTTTATCAAATTAATATTTATTTTAAAAATGTGCTCGTCTTGCAAAACACTCACAGACCAAGTTACTCGCAATGCAAGGTTTTACTGTACATTAAATACGAGCTAAAATTCAAATCGTAAAAATCATAAGTAGGATTAACAGAAAACAATTAATCTCTCTCATCTCTATTTTGGCTGCGTCTATCAGCTCTCATTGCACTATATCTCTTTTTGTCAACACCTCTGTTCTCACCACCTATTTATCGTGTCTATATCTCTCCTCTCACGAGGATGCTATGAATTTAAATGTTGGGGGACCCTAAAGTTAATTCTACTTGGGGACCCCCCCTTGAATGTGACGGCACCCCACCATGGTACACGGCTGAGAGGAAGGAAGGGCCTCCTGCGCCAGGGCCTGTGGCCAACCGAGGCCTGGGGTGGCCATCAAGGCCATAGGAAACCAGCATGAACAACGGCTGGCTCGGGAAATGGGACGATGATGAGCAACAAGAAGGGGGTACAGTCTAGAAAAGGCCAAGAGACTAATCGTAATAATAACGATCCATGCAAAAGGTGAAAAATGGGTGGTGAAAGGTACGACAGGACCATTGGCAGTACAGTGCCTGTACACACGAGTTCAAGCCTTTTGCAGTCCACACCCAATGAGGGAATCCCTGTGTGGCAGAAAAAGGAACTGACATCACTCGTTGTATTTCTCTATCACAAGAGCTCGCTTATTCGGCTCCATCATTGCTCTTGTGTCTCCACAAAGTGCAAGGCCGAGCAGTGGAATTGTTAAATCGCCGTAGTGCGACGTCAGCAGCACTTCTCTGCAGTCTCGTAGGCACAATTTTTTTTTTATCACGCGCAGTCACCCGCTGAATTATTGAAAGGAGGGAGGCTCCTCCTCTCCCTGGGCAAAGTTCCCTAAGCATGGGGGACTCCCTCTGTTTAATCCTGCCACAGAAATTATTTGCAGGGATGATAAGTGAACAATCTATTTTCAAGCTGGAATTTTGCACGGGCAATAATTAAACATCTCCCGTAAATAATTTTCAGTCGCAGTTATGACTACAATATGAAATAAATTCCAGCCAATCTCAATCGACAAATGAAAGGAGGCGTCTCTTCACCAAAACATTCGCAGGCATTTATTTTAAAATGTATTACTCTATTTCACCACACTGGTCAGTGTGAGTTGATAAAGGGAGTGGGGGGGGGGGAGGTCAGGACTCACAATTAATGTTAGTCTTGGCTGGGGGTTGAACTTAGTCGGAATAGCTTTGGAGCGTAGTGCGTACACTGCAGCGTTGCAGCTCCACCCCCATCATCTCAATGTCATATGCGCATCTGAAACGGCAAAAACTTTAGTTACTTTTGTTCGTGCCTTTAATTCTCTAATCTAAATTCTGAATAATAAGTATCTGCTGTTGTGAGTGATCTTGGAAGCGTGTCTCCTTGTCTGGGTTCACTGTGAATTGTATTTTATTGCTCTCATCGCACTGCCTTGGTGTAGCGGTCGTAATTATAGACTGCCCTTAAATAATTTCTGTAATCGAATGAAGACGGCACTAAATGACTGCCATCCCTTTAAACTGACCCAAATGGATTTTGTAATAAATCCTCTTCATACTTTAATGTGGCACTCGTTAGCCTTTAGCCCTTTTCTAGGATTTGGTTCACAGCAGTGCTTTGGTCAGTGGTTAAAATAGAATAAAAACCCTAGCAACTTGTATCCATCCTGCTCATGTGGTCCATTGGTTTTTCTTTTGAAAGACTTCCATAATTCAGTTTCCCAGTCAATGTCAATGCTGACTGGTGACGCCCCGAGATGGTGAAGACTGAGACGATGACGAGGATGACGAAGAACGACGAGAAGGATGGCGAAGAACGACGAGAAGGATGGTGAAGGATGGTGAAGAACGACGAGAAGGTGAAGAACGACGAGAAGGTGAAGAACGACGAGAAGGATGGTGAAGAACGACGAGAAGGATGGTGAAGAACGACGAGGTGAAGAACGACGAGAAGGTGAAGAACGACGAGAAGGTGAAGAACGACGAGAAGGTGAAGAACGACGAGAAGGATGAAGAACGACGAGAAGGATGGTGAAGAACGACGAGAAGGTGAAGAACGACGAGAAGATGAAGAACGACGAGAAGGATGGCGAAGAATGACGAGAAGGATGGCGAAGAACGACGATAAGGATGGTGAAGAATGACGAGAAAGATGGTGAAGAATGACGAAGGATGGTGAAGGATGGTGAAGAATGACGAGAAGGATGGTGAGTGACGAGAAGGTGAAGAACGACGAGAAGGTGAATAACGACGAGAAGGATGGTGAAGAACGACGAGAAGGTGAAGAATGACGAGAAGGTGAAGAACGACGAGAAGGTGAAGAACGACGAGAAGGATGGTGAAGGATGGTGAAGAATGACGAGAAGGTGAAGAATGACGAGAAGGTGAAGAATGACGAGAAGGTGAAGAACGACGAGAAGGTGAAGAACGACGAGAAGGATGGTGAAGGATGGTGAAGAATGACGAAGGATGGTGAAGGATGGTGAAGAATGACGAGAAGGATGGTGAGTGACGAGAAGGTGACGAACGACGAGAAGGTGAATAACGACGAGAAGGATGGTGAAGAACGACGAGAAGGATAGTGAAGAATGACGAGAAGGTGAAGAACGACGAGAAGGTGAAGAACGACGAGAAGGATGGTGAATAACGACGAGAAGGATGGTGAAGAATGACGAGAAGGTGAATAACGACGAGAAGGATGGCGAAGAACGACGAGAAGGATGGTGAAGAACGACGAGAAGGTGAAGAATGACGAGAAGGATGGTGAAGAACGATGAGAAGGATGGTGAAGAATGACGAGAAGGATGGTGAAGGATGGTGAAGAATGACGAGAAGGTGAAGAATGACGAGTAGGATGGCGAAGAACGATGAGAAGGATGGTGAAGAATGACGAGTAGGATGGCGAAGAACGATGAGAAGGATGGTGAAGAACGACGAGAAGGATGGTGAAGGATGGTGAAGAATGACGAGAAGGTGAAGAATGACGAGTAGGATGGCGAAGAACGATGAGAAGGATGGTGAAGAATGACGAGTAGGATGGTGAAGACTTGAGCAGCACGACGGGGATCCCACTCCATACAACAGCCCCGAGGTCCCCTGCAGGGGCCCCTCATTTATACTGTTAGCGTGGCCTGGCCACGCCCCCTTTCTAGAACCTACCAGCGGGTTCCTGGTGTGCTCCTGTGACCTTTCCCCGACTAGACCCCCCTCTGGAGTATCACGTGGCCTGCTGACGTCAGGGCTGCTGTAAGCCGCAGATCCCCTTCCCCACCAGCAACCAGCGCTATGCTGCTACATAACTCTTCTATGCCACTACACATGTACTGTATGTATATATGCCAACATCAGTGGCGATAGTCCAACCAGTGCTGCCCCTCCCCACCCCTTCACCAGACCGACTGACCAGCATGGTTAAGTATGGTCAAAACATGTGAATTTCTGACATGGCGTGGGAGTGGCTTTCATCATGCAGTGGATGGACAAAGAGCCGTAACATTAATCATTTTCATATTCCGTTTTGTCAAGTTATATCCCTGTAACAATTAATTTTGATTGCCAAACCTATTTGTAGACGCAGGTTTGTTGTCATAGTGGGGATGTCGATTTGGCCTCGCGCCTCGGAGCTGAATCCTCGGGCCTCGGAGCTGAATCTTCGCACCACACAGAGCCCAGTTCCCCCCCCCCCTGCCTCGGGATGGTTTAAAAAAAAAGAGGTTCCACCGGCGGTTTAGAGCCCCGTTTGAGATTGGTGCAAACGCCACTGCCTGATTGGGCAGAGTGAGGAGACGCCCCCCTCCCCTCCTCCCGCACCCTCTGTGATGGTCAAATGACGGTGAGCGAGACTCTCTGTATTGATGCCATTACACGGGAGAGTAATTAAAGAAGAATGTGGGCGGTCTTTGTGGACTTTTTTTTGTTATTGTTATTTTTTTAGAGATGTAGTATTGCCGGGAGCTTGAGAATGCTCCTTGGCAGGGCCCCCCCCCCACCCCAATGGTTTATTTTAAATTGTCCTTCCAGACTTTTTTTGAATAAAAAAATAATAATTTACTGGAGCAAAGTTAATTTGTGAAATATGGCAGTCTTTTGTGCAAATACTTTTTTTCTGGCTGGCTTTTTTTCTGTGTTCGGATGAAGGGTAACCCAGTCCATATGTATTTTGTGTGCATATTGTTAACCCATGTAAAATGAAAGCAACATGCTGAGCAAAGTTTCACACATGTTTGAGTCAGGCTTATTTTCTGGCCTTCGGTTGCTTGAAAATCCTGACATTCCTAGCGATTTGTTTTTTTATTAAGTAACAGTTGAATGTATGATTTTAAAGTCACGGCTATTCGAGTGACAATTTCGAATGCTTTCAGCAAAATAATAAAAAAAACTGATCGGCTTTGGTGGGTTGTTTTTACAACATAACACTACTTATAATAAACACCATTCTTTATAGCGCAGTGGCTATCAGGAAGGAGCTGTGTTTAACAGACGAGTATAGTTCGCCAGTCGGGGGCGATGCCGCTGTGGTGGCTTTACCCAACTAAGTCATTTGCGAGGTGGTTTGATACAATTTGTACCGTGACGCTGACACGTGACCTACACTCGTTGGAATAACGCAACGGGATCTTTGATATCCAGTGGGAAGCAGACGGTGCGTCTACCTAACCTTTAATAATGACGCCGCTGTTTCGGGCAGGGCGGCCGGTGAGAGTGTGACGTTTCTAGGAGGCATGCCACACCAGGCGTGGATTGGGATGACCAACAAGACGTGCACTGCTGTTTGTCTCTTACTCTTTGGTTCTATTCGGTAAAGTCACGTAGGTAAACAAACACAAGGTCCAGGTCCGGTTCAATACAGTACACAAAATTCGTGATCTGATCCCAACCGTGAAGGATGTCATTCCTGACTTACAATACCCCGGGATTTACAAATTGAGTTGTACCTGCGGTGATTGCTATATCGGGGAGACGAAGCGACATGTCTGACCGAATTCGCGAGCACAAATCAGATTTGAAACGGCAGAACGAATTTTTCTGCCGTAGCTGATCACTGCTATAACGCTGTGGGTGATCACGATATAATTTTCTCCGATACCAAGGTTCTTTGCAAACCCACGGGTTTGTATCAGAGATTTGTTCACGAGGCAATTCAGATTTACAAACACAGACACAATTTCAACCGAGAAGATGGTTTCAAATTAAACAACCATTGGAAAGATGTTCTAAATCGAACCAAACATTAAACTAATTTTCAATGGTACAGTATATTTTTTCAAGTAGTGGTACCCCAAACTTTCGCAGCTTCTTAAAATTCCCTTTTCACACCATCAATAGGTAAACTCCCCCTCCCCCCCTCGCCGGCCTGCACATGTTCACCTCCTCTACACCGTTCACCATGCTAAGTCCGCCAATCAAATGCTAATTTTTTATGCTAATTCCTTTGTCAAGGCACCTTAATTCCTCTCACACAGCTTAAAGGTCGCAGTCTGAGCTTGGCTGTGTTCACTCCAGCGCTGTCCTCGAGACAGTCTGGTCCCTTCACCTGATGAAGGCCGCTTGTGTTGTGGCCGAAACGTCGTGATTTTTGTTTTATTTTTTACCTACGTCACTTTACCGAATAGAACCATAGAGTATGGATCCTTGCAGTCACGAAAGCTTCAAATCTAGAATTGTTTGTCTCTTGTTCGTTGGTGTGCGGCTCTGCTGGTGATTTCTCTTTACGTTTACAAACGCGCACACAAAAAAAAAACCACCTCGACAGCCACTCGAAAACGTCTCCTGCCACCCAGGGAACCAGGGCCCCCTTCCCTCGCTCTGCTTCATCGTATTGATAGCGGCTCCTCCATCTCACCTGGGCCAGCGAGGCCCGAGCGTGAGTGCGAGGCTGAGCCAGAGGCGAGCACGCCACTCGGGATCTGACAGCAGGTGAACCGTCCGGCGTGTGGCGTGCAGGAAGCTGCGCGTGACCGAAGAGAACGGGGGGCTCAGGAGGTCGGAGTACGCGCTCACCCCGCAGCACGACGGCTTGCCGGACACCCTCGCCACCTGAACTTGAGGCCGCCCGCCTGCCCGTGCCGCACGTGAGCGGCGGCCGCAGCGGCGTGCCACCCGGCGAATCGAGACGGATGCCCACCGCCAGGTTCAACGCACCTGTGGGCATGGCTTGAGAGGTGGTGGATGGGGGCATTGTCAAGGAACTGACCTTTGAAGAAGAGTTGCGTTTTCTCTTTGTTATTTTTTTTGCCCAGTTGTGAATGAAGTTCGGATGTAGACAATGAAGCAAAGTGAGGCCTAAGTGAGCATTGTCACTTTGCCAACTGGGTACTGATTTAGTTCTGAAGTGTAACCAAGGGTGACTTTGATTGCAACCCCAAAAAACATCTTTATAAATGTGTGTACAAATGTAAATCTTGAGACCAACTGGCTAGCAGATTGTCCTGAGCATACCGACCAATCTAAATCGTTGCCATAGCTGCACTATTGATGTAGAATTGTAGCTCTAGGTGAAGAGTAAAAAGGAAAAGTCCGTTTAAAAATGTACTTATCTAATTAATATTTTGAAATCTTATTAGTCTACTTGGTCTTTCTATGGAATTGGCATTCTAGCAATTATGCATACATGGGCATGGATTAGTGCCAAAGTAAAGCATGCTGACAAAACCACAAACTCAATTCTACAAGTTTAAATATAAGGGATAAGTTAACAGCTGCCAGGATATGGAAAACAAGTTATGTTTATTTTGTGTACCTATTGCTAAATGTGTAACATTGTTTTGGTTTCACGTTGACTTGTGCTGCACTGTTTTGAGATTGAGCAACACCACAAAGAGAAGGGGAATTAACGAGTAGAGAAATTTAAGTGGATCGCCCACTGGGTCTCCGCAAAGAATGGGATCTGTATCTTCAAATGTGTCAAGGGTTTTATATTTGTCACATACAGATGCCCTTGTAGATTTATATCTACATAGATGTTGGGGGGAACTCGCTGTAATGGATATAATTCATACAATTTCTTATAAACCCTTGACAACATGTGAAACAAATGCTGATTAGAGTTGATATTTGGAGGGAGGGAAGACGGGCCAATGGATAAGATGCCTCGATGAAAGATCTGAAACACGCCGATTGAGACTGAATGAAGCGGGTCCCCTCTGGTCTCCAGATGAATTCCACAACCACCGTCCGCTCAAATGTCTACAACTTGACAAGGCGGTGCACCGTGTCCTGCATTGGCGGGGGAGGTTGTAGTTTCTGGAAGAAAACAAACAACATTTTTCACAATGTGAAAAAGTTTGCGATGTATCCTTAGTTTTTCAGAGTGTTACAATCCATAAAATATGGTGATACTGGCTAAGGAAAGAATCCAGGGTAGAAATTAGTTTGGTCCCGTCGTAGCCATGGAGTTGACAGAAAATACATAATGATGATGAGCAAGCGTTACAATGAAGATTATTTTTCAGTGCAGAATGCTGTCGGGTGCAAATAAGGTTGGGTCGCGGTTTCCAAGCTGTTCCTCAGCCTGGCAGGGATTTGTTGTTGTGCTGTAATAAAATCGTCTGGATTCACTCGGCAGCATTCATTTGTCAGAACACACCCAACGGGAATATGATAATCTATGAGTGTTTAAGCCGTCCAGAGTTCGACTTGTGTGTGAATGAATGTTATAGAGATTAATTGATCGAGAAGGCTCGTTGATAGATGGATAAAATTAATTTCCATTTTATGATGAAACGAACCCCATCATTTCCTGCTTTGTGTTTGTCAATCCAATAAGGCAGCAAAGTCCAGGCTTTAATTGCTGGAGGCTACCAGTCTTATAATTGGGTAATAATGCTCATAGGGTTTGATTTTATTCGTTATAGCTTTGAGTCATATTTACCCCGGTTTATTCTGATTGTGCTATGGGTGTCATGTGATGAGATGAAGTAGCCAATTAGATCTCTGGCAGGGCAGTACAACTCTTCTTGGAAGCGGATATCACAGAGCTGCCGCTTACATTACGTTGAGGAAACTCTGTTATACACACTCGAGGGAGCACTTTCACATCCGCTCTGCATATCAGATAAATGTTAGTCGCTCGACAATCCAACTTGTCTTTAATTCGCACAGCTTGATATCGAAACTAAGTGCAGAACCACATTAATATAATGGGTGTGGTAATGGGTGACTATGTTGAGACTACCAATTGTCTACAATTGAGATCCTGGTTTCATCACAAGTTCAGCACTCTGACCACCTCAGCCACCCAGACACCTCTGGTCTGATTTTATTTTAATCTAATAGCAGAAAGTATATTTTTTTAAACATGGTCAGTTTTTTTTTCTGTTGGAATTTCAATAAACTGGCTACAATTTAACACGTAGGCTTTCGCGACCAAAATCATCCATAATACGGGTTTTTTTTGGTTAGATGACATAAAAATAGCGTATTTACGTGATCTAACCCAAAAAAATAACCCAAGAAACCCTGTCATAAACTGGTTACACGTGTAGCCATGAGCTCTGCACCTTGCCACCAACGCTGTTCTGCCGTGCGATACTAAAGCATCTTTCAAACAAGAATAATGTCTGCACATGTTCCGAAGCCTTAAACAAGAGCAGGTGGAACCTTGGAATGTACCAAATACTGCACCCAGCTACGCTGGATTCGTGCTGCATTTGTCCGTGCCATTTACAAAGCTTGCCATATTGCCGTCACGTGGCCAACGAAGTTGTTTCAGTGGGAGATGGAGCCATACATTTGGTTCTGGGAAAGAAACTTTGTGCGGCGTACGTGCGCACACGTGTTTCGAGAGGAGGCAATGGCAAGCCAGATTAAGCAATATGACAAATACCTTGTGCCATAGATCCTAACTCTACGGAGGTTTCTCCGACAGACCCCCTCTTCCTGCCGTTCATCACAGTCAGCCCGGGGACACTCCCAAGACCCAATCAAGCGCCGTGTACCAGGGTCTCGCTTCGTGAGCATCCACAGAGCACGCGGCTGCACACAGCCCCGACGGGAGTCTGAACAGGAAGTGGGCCCGGGCAGCAGTTTTGTTTTTGTCCTTGTTAATTCGTCTGCTATGCCCTCAATGCTGTCTAGAAACACGTCGCATTGCTGCCTGGAAACGCATCCTGTGGGGGAGTTTTGCTCCACATTTTAAAAGTAGCTCTGTGTATATTCCAAAACCAAGGGGATGTCGACTTAATAATGGTGCAATAGGCCGGTGCAGCAGAGTCGGCAAATATCTCCTCAAGTAGCCCTCCCTCCAAGCGGATGCCCTTTTGCCAGCAGTTGTGTGAGCAAGCGTTTGTAGGACTACACATTTACGTAACTTCTGAAATAACTAAAAAATATATATGTACAGTAAAAACAAAGGTGGCCACTTACGTCTTCCAGTCCCAATGTTTCCTCGGAAGCCTTTTGGAGGGTTGTGTGCGATGCGACTCCAAGTTGATGGCAATCCGCCAAAGTCGCTCACAATGTCTACTCACAACGAGCCGTGCCTTCTCCCTGTAGTGTAGAATATGTCCTTGGGTTGGCATCCACGTTGGATCTCGGCACAAGCCCAGCTTGTAATCCGCACGGCACTCAATTTCACCTCCATGCTGCAACTGGGCCCGTCAGTGGAGCTGAACCCATCTTCCGTCTTGAACTTGTCATCGGAAACCAAAAGCACAAGAGAATAAATTAAAAATCGAATCCGGCGAATTTTGCCGATCCCTGGTTTTGAGGCTCTCTCACACTCTGGTGGGCATCTCCTGGCGTGGGCAAACATATTGTGGATTTTACTGCAGTCCTTGAGCCGAACTCGTCTGTTCAGCTCTCTGGGTGCGAGTCTCACGTGTCTGTGACGACTTGTCCAAACACCCTTTGACTAGCAAGCGGGTCGACAGCGTAACTCGCCTGCATGCAACGCCAGTTCTCGAGCAGTGGAGAGAGGCCGCGGTTTGGTGTCTCCAGCAGTGGATTGGGCAAAAGTGGCCATCGGTGTGGTTGTACCTTGTTCTACAAATACGAATGTGACGACCTGGTCCTCTTCAGTGTTCTGTCTTTGATACCATCCTCATCTATCCCGCCCAGTGAGGCCAGGATTATTGCAGATGAGACCACCACGGACGTTGTGTCTGAGGGCTTCACCCGTGCCACCTCTAAAATCCTTGGCACAGACTGCCGTGCAATTTCAACTCTCGCAACACGGCAAACAACAACATAAAAACTTGCCCGGTAGGCTCGGCGAGGGAATTCTCTTTCCCAGACTCGCAGAAGTCTCGTCTCGTGTCACGTTTGGTCATTTTTGGTTCGGATTTGCTGACATTGCTGCGCTTCTCGTTTGCGTTGTTGTTGTTGTTGTTTCTTTCGCTCAACCCCCGTTTCGTTGTTCCCCAGTCCTTATCCTTTTCCTCACCCCAGTGTGGTTTTTTTATGAATGGTGAAGTTAAACGGTAAAACATTTTTTTATACAAGGGCAGCTTCTTTATTGTGTGTAGATGTTCTCCGCACGGCGAGTTCCTTCGCCTGAGTGGCTGCGAGTTCCGTGTCCTCGGGGCCCCGTGTCTCTCGACACCGGGCCCTCTGGGTTCATCCATTGCCGCAGTCTGCCGCAGTGGCAGCAAGGCGATGCTCCTGAAGCCATTGAGGTCCTCGCGAGGATATTTAAAACGCGCTGGGGTTTCAGCTGAAGATTGTGACAGCGACATGCTGAAAGGGGGGGGGGGGGGTGTATACGTGAGCAGGGAACGCACACAAATCGGAGACGTGACTCCCACAGTTCAGAGTAAATGTGCTTAGGCAGGTTCCCTCCCTAGGAGACGAGAGAGCCAGCGGGTCGAGATTGAGTGACAGCCAGAGGGGACCCCTCCAAAGGATGACCACCGAGGAGATGGAGCGAGAGGGGTTGTTGCATCATGAGGTGGCATCAGTTTGGGGGGGGGGGTGGTGGGTGGAGGGAAGGCCTTCATTCAGCGGTAGATTGATCATGGCTGATGATGATAATCCCGTCCTTCCCGTGTGTTTGTGTGCCTTTGTTGCTGAAAATGCCGATAGTTTCACTTTGCCTTTCAAGACAACTTCGTACACGTACAGTTGTCAGTCAAATTGTTGGGTGTTACAGACTCAGTCATCATTACCGGGTTCAGGAAATATTAAATAAACAGGATATGTTGTTCTCTTGAGGCATTTCGGTCCTTTAATCAAGTGGAAGCCTGTTGAGGTAACATTTCATTTTCTTGTTATGCACCACTACTACTGCTTCAGTAGCTCACACATTAAAATATTGACGAATGAACCCGGCCTTTTGGCTAATCCCCGCACGTATCCGTTAACAACAACAACAACCACCACCACGAGTGTCGAGCAGCTGCGGGCTTTGCGTGTGAACGGCGGGGGTCTGAGGCCTCCCCAATGCAGCGCCCCGTCACGGTGACACGTGGGGTCGTGGCGTCGCGGGGTCATGGGGTCATGGGGTCGCGGGGTTGTGGAGCCGTGAGCAAGTTCGCGACCCTCCCAACCCCACTGACCTGACTTTGATTCCCTACTCACTGTCAACATCAATGGCGCACTACTGAACTGGGCACCCCGCCACTCTCCCCTCCCCCCTTAGGTCAGTTCAGCCTTAAATGAGTGCCTGGTGCAATGTGAAAACTTCAGCGCCGTGGGGACAAAGGCGGCCAGGCGTAGTTTCTGGCCACACCGCCCTTGCATCGGTGCTCGCCAACCACCTATGTAGACGAATGTGAGTGGCTGCCTTTGATTCGTGAACGTCAGCAACGGGGAGGTACAAAGGTGGCAGGGTACGACCGGGGTCACGCCACCCGTATCTACCGCTGGGTGAGCAGAGGGGGCAGGATGCAAGCCGCCTGCACCGTCGGTTTCACTGCCGCAACGGGAGATCATACCGGCGACCTCTGAGCAGCAAGTCGACTTTTGCTGACCGCTACACAACGGCGCTACTGGATGAATTATATTCATGGCCCATTCAAAACGCCCCCAATGATTTCCAGTAGCTGGAGGGGAAATTGCCCAGGCTGCCGTTAAGACGTTGGGGGGGAGGGGAGGGGAAGTGTTTTCGTTTCTGCCGTCAAAATGAAGCCGCAGAAAATAAATGATTATAATGTAATTATGTCGAACACATTTTATCCATGGCTTTTCAACTACCGGTAAATTACAAATGTTGCTGTAATTTAGTGTGTCTGTAACAGCAACCATCCTCTTAATGACTCCCTCGTACGATAACTCTTGTAATCTATCAATCATGAGAGCATTAATCCACGCTTAATTGAAGATTCCTGCAACTAGGCCATGTCTCGGTGTGCTAGCTTGCGCGTTTGTGAGAGGACGCGCGAGAGTACGCGTGAGTACGCACGCGCGTGTGTATGAGCGAACACGCGTGTGTGTGTGTGAGCGTACACGCGTGCGTGTGTGTGTGAGCGTACACGCGTGCGTGTGTGTGAGCGTACACGCGCGCGTGTGTGTGAGCGTACACGCGCGCGTGTGTGAGCGTACACGCGTGTGTGTGTCAGCGTACACGCGTGTGTGTGTCAGCGTACACGCGTGTGTGTGTGTGAGCGAACACGCGTGTGTGAGCGAAC